CGGATCACTCCGCCATCTACCGCACCTCGTACACCCCCGAGCGTCTCACCAAGCTTGGTGCGGCTGCCGGTAAGGGTCTTCTGACCGTGGAAGACCGTGCCGGTATGATTGCCGATGCTGGCGCTCTGGCGGCGTCGGGCTACCAGAGCACCTCCGGCCTCCTCTCCCTCCTGAAGGGCTTCTCCACCGAATCCGAGTTCGTCGTGTGGAACGAGATCCTGACCCGGATCGGCACCCTTCGCGCCGCGTGGCTCTTCGAGGACCAGAAGACCAAGGACGCCCTTAAGGCCTTCCAGCGTTCGCTCACCGGTGACAAGGCCCACGAGCTGGGCTGGGAGTTCTCCGAGAGTGACGGCCACATCCTGCAGCAGTTCAAGGCCCTCATGTTCGGCAGCGCCGGTATGGCCGAGGACCCTATTGTCGTCAAGGCCGCCCAGGACATGTTCGCCCGCTTCTCCGCCGGCGACGTCAGCGCCATCCACCCCAACATCCGCGGCAGCGTCTTCTCCATCGTCCTGAAGCACGGCGGCGAGAAGGAATACAACGTCGTGTACGACCGCTTCCTGCACGCCCCCACTTCCGACGAGAAGACCACAGCCCTCCGCTGCCTCGGCGCCTCCGAGCACCCCGACCTGATCCAGCGCACTTTGGCTCTTGCCAACGGCGAGGAGGTCAAGAACCAGGACATCTACATGCCCCTGGGCGGTCTGCGCAGCCACACCACGGGTATCGAGGCCCGCTGGTCCTGGATGAAGAACAACTGGGACGCCCTGTACAAGCGTCTGCCCCCTGGTCTGGGCATGCTCGGAACCGTTGTGCAGCTCAGCACTGCCAGCTTCTGTACCGAGGCGCAGCTGAAGGATGTGCAGACTTTCTTCGAGAGCAAGGACACGAAGGTAAGCTTGACTCCCTGGACTCCCTTGTATCAAGGACATAATTATCCTTGAGTATATGATCACTAAACCCCTGTCTTCTTTCTAGGGCTTCGACCGCTCCATCGAACAGAGTCTCGACGCTATCCGCGCTAAGATCAACTGGGTCAACCGTGATCGCGCTGACGTCGCGGCTTGGTTGAAGGAGAGTAAGCTGTAAGCCGTAGCTTTTTGGTTTCTTCTGGCTTTTTGGAATGGCTAGTCGGTTCTTTTTATTCTTTTTGGTATATACAAAAAGTTGGAAGGATGAGTGGGGTTGTATAATTCTTATTTAATCAATATATATCGATCTATATCCATTTTTTATGTCAATGGTTTATGTCTTGGATGAATTGATCTATTGGGGAATATATGGGGTTTTGTATACTAGTTTCACATGAAAAAAGGAATCTCAACTCAAATAACGAATTAAAAATTACTAGACTTGGTAAGGTTGGAGCATAGAAGTAGTTATGTGTTTGTCTGTATCTGTAACTATAGTTATCTGCCAGCCAGGAAAGCTCTCAGCCAAGAATAGAACTTCCTCATCTTGACTTAAACTGAACGTGAATATCCTCTACCATCCACCCTTTCCACCAAATCCAGAGTTCTCGTCCCCGCCTCCTTTGCGGGCCCCCATACCGCGGGTGGGTTTGGATTGCGCGGCTTCGTGTTTTCGGAGTTCTTCAGGGACGCGCGAGATTGGTGATTTGATGAGCATTTGTTTGAGGTCGTACCTGTGTTTTAGTTGTTAGTGAGGGAGGTCTTTGGTTTGTGGGTGGAAAGGGGGAAGGGGTATAGATAATGATAGGAATGGGAAAGGGATTAGGGTTAGAAACGTACATGACATCCGCATCTTCATTACCCAAGAAAGTGATAGCCACACCACTCTTGCCGGCACGACCGGTACGACCGATACGATGGGTATAACTTTCGATGGAGTTGGCCATGTTGAAGTTCAGAACCAGCGACACGTCAGGGACATCGATACCACGACCCGCCAGGTCAGTGGCGACGAGGACGTCGGTGGCGCCGCTGCGCACGGAAGCCAGGGCGGCTTCACGCTGCTCCTGCGTCTTGCTACCGTGCAGAGTGACAGAGGAGAAGCCCATCTGTTTGATTTCCCGCGCGATGGCATCACAGTTGCGCTTGATGTTGACGAAGACGATGATCGGGGCGCGGAACTCGCCGGACGAGAGGATGTCCGCGAGGCGCTTCTTGCGCTTGTCTTCGCCGGCGACCATCTCGACGCGCTGCTCGACTGTGTCGACGGCCTCGCCGGCGCTACCGATGGTGACGATGGCGGGGCGGCGGAGGTATTTGCGCGCGATGCGCTCGACGGCCGTCGGCATGGTGGCCGTGTACATCATCGTTTGGCGGTAGCGGTCCTTGGCGCTGAGGCGCTGGCTCATGGCGAGTGCGTTCTCGGCCTCTTCGCTGTCGGGCTTTTCGTTGGAGACGGGGAGGGCGTCGAGGATCTTGTTGACGGGCTCTTCGAAACCGAGATCGATCATGCGGTCGGCTTCATCCATGATGACGTAGCAACATTGGCTGAGGACGAGGAGGCGACGTTCGATGCAGTCGACGAGACGACCGGGCGTGGCGATGATGATCTCCGCACCGTCCCGCATGCTGTACGCTTGCTCTTCGAAGGAGTGACCTCCGACGATACTGACCACGTTGAAGCCGAGCGGTTGCGTGAACTTCTTGGCCTCGATCTCGATCTGCTGCGCTAGTTCACGGGTGGGCGCTAACACAATGGCGTAGGGGCCGTCGTTTTTACGCCATTCAAATTCGTCGATGCGAGGCAGTTCGGAGATGTACACCAGGAGAGGGAGGAGGAAGGAGGCCGTCTTACCGGAACCGGTGACGGCCACACCGATGAGGTCGCGAGACTGCATGGCAATCGGGATGGCGGCACGCTGGATGGGCGTGGGCTCCTTGTAGCCGACCCGGTTGACCAGTTCCATCAAGCGACTCGGCAGATGCGATTCATCCCATGACCGCATGGGGTTGGGTACACTGCCACCCTTGGTGGCAATGTTGAAGTCCTCCTTGAAGATACGCCAGTCTCGCTCGCGCATGTGTTCCAGCTTCTTCTCGCTCCAGTGCTTGTCGATCTGGTTCCGCACACCCTCCTCTCTCCGCCGTCGCTCCATCTCCATCATTTCGCGCGCACGCATCCCACCAGCCTCGCGATCCTGGTCCTCCAGGGCTCGCGCATACTTCTTCGCCATCTGCTCCGCAACATCATCGCCGAAGCCCGCCAGACGTCCACGACCGAAGAACTTCGCCTCATGCCGATGCTGGTACAACGGGTTGTAGTCGCCACTGGTATCCTCTTCCGCGTTCCACTCGAAGTTGAACTTCCGATCCGTCGTCCTCTTGCGCTTCTTCTTCGCCGAGAATGTGGACGCCTGGTCCGCTCCCATATATCTGTGCTTCACCAGAGCCGCCTGCGCAGCGGCCTCGTCCTCTTCCACGGGCCGAGACGAGCCCTTCTTCGGCGGCGGCATGTCGTTGTTCTTGCTCTGTGCATGCTGCGAGGAGCCCCGCATGGCAGCCGGCGCGGTCGGTACATTCGCGTTGCGCATGGCCCGGGGCCCGGTGGGAATGGATCTCGAGTCACCGCGCGGGTCGTCGGAGGCTATGGAGGGAGATTGCGTGCCGCTGTGGTCTGTCCCGTTGGGTGCCCGTTCGGCCTGTTTTCGAGTAGCTTCGACTTCCTTGGTGCGTTTTTCGAGTGCGAGGCGTTCGCGTTCGGCTCTGGAGAGGAATTTAGGCTGTAAGGTAAGAAACATTCAAAGGTTAGTAAAGTATTCAGTATGTTTGTCAAGCTGGATAAGCTGTCAAGGGAAGCTTCACTGCTATGACATACCTTTGCGGCAGCAGCATCTGCCTCTCGCTTCTTCCGGACCAGCTCCTCCACACTCAGCGGCGTAGATGCCGGATGCTTCGTACCCCATCCGACCTTCTTCTTCTTCTTGGGAAGCTCTGGCGGCGGCGCAGGAGGGAGGTCTTCGGGTGGTGGTGGAGGCGCGGACACGTCCGGGGGCGGAGGAGGGGCGGCGGACTCTTCTGGGGGAGGCGGAGGGGGAGTGGGAGGGCGTTCTGAGAGTTCGGGGGGAGGGGGTCTGGAGGGATCCTCCGTCGATCCGTTCGTTACGATACCATCCATGATGGCGATGTGAGGGGGTTGGGCGCAAAGAAATTGGAGGTGAAAGAAACGGTCGACAATGGAGAGTCGCCGCGGAATCTAGAATTTCTACGGCGGGCGACTCGGCACGATGCGCAGTCACGTGGACATAATCTCGATCTTGTAGAATCATAGCAGCCACTTACCCCCGGTGTGTTTTCACCTCTTACTTGCGCCCAAAGTACGGAAAATCAATTTTGAAAGCGGGATCATGTACTTGGTAGCTTTGTGTCATGGGTGTGTCAGTTCGGTAGTGTTTACGCATAAACTGAGGTGGTAGGAAGCTGGCAAGTGTTTTCACCCATAGAAATTCTGTTAATTGACCATCCGACCAGACCCAAATGTTCAGTTTGAATCTGTGGTTTTTTTAGAGTTTGAGTCCCGTGGTCTGTACCAGACAACGGCGTGGTTGCGGTAGTAGTAGTTGTTGCCCGCCGTACTCCAGGGGGTGAAGGTAGGCCTTGCCTGGATCAACACTCGATAGAGAGACCAAGTACAGAGAGCTATCATGTAGTTACTAAAGGACAATGAATACAGGCCACAAGCAGATTATAATTTATCTCGCACTACCTAGGCATTAGAACACAAGAGAAACGGTGTCCAAACTCATAAAAAGTCCACCCAACCAAACATTCGCATGATATCATTTAAGAAGAGCTGTCACGAAGAATCAGGCAAACTAGCATGGTAGCGAGCACCCTCCCTTCCAGACATTGCAGAGTCGCTAAGCAAATCAGAAAAAGAAAGAAAGAAAGAAAGAAACATTGTTCTACACGGAGAATAGTGGCCGATTCGAGCGGTCAACGGAAGGGGATAGAAAGTCCGCATGCCCCATCGGTCATAGACAAGATCAGATCAGATCGGCTGGAGGCGAAACTCACAAGCATAGGAGTTTAGGCACCCACGCTGCCGTTAACGGGAGCCTCCTGATAGTAAGCATACGGGTTGGGTTGGGGGGTCGCGGCGGTCGTGGGGACAACCAGAGGCGTTGCCGCAGCCACGGCGGCGTCGGACTGCTGCTTGGCAGCCTCGGCCGCGGCGCCGGTCTTGGTCTGAGCTACAGAGGCAGGGCCATGGACCTCACGATCCAGAGTCATGTACTCCTTGGCCGCGTCCTTGGTGCCTCGTTCAAGCAGATAGACCATGTAGGTTTGGACAAGCTCCTTCACCACGTCGGCAGACAGACCGCTCTTGGAACGGACGTCATCGACCACCTGCTTGATGCGCTCATACTGGACGGTTTCCGTAGCAGAGCTTGTGGGCTGCTCCAGCTCGAACACGAGGTAGCTCGTCCAGAAAGCTCCGCTGTCCAGGTAGTACTGCTGGTTGGTCTGGTACACTTGCCGGGCATCTTCGGCGGATCCCTTGATCTTCCACAACAGGCGAGCCCATTCGGCGACGAGAGCCGCTTTCGTAGCCAGGTCGCTCTGCGGCGAATCCAGCTGGGTCTTGTACACCTCGATGGCAGCTTCCAGCCCACCGTGACGGCGAGACATGTTGGCCAAGGAAACAATCGTCTCCACGTGGTTGGGAATGTTAAACAGAATTGCTTCATGGATGTCCTTGGCCACATCCACTCGTCCCGACATTTCTTCGAAGTAAGCATATTGCAGGCGAGTCGCCGGGTTTGCGATGGGCACGTAGAGGCAGCATGCACGTTGGTAGATGGTGCGCACTTCTTCTTCCTTGCCCGGTTGAGCGGCCATCCAGCGAGCATAACGTTGCCAGAACTCATCGTAGTGCGCGCAGGTCACGAGGCACCTCTCGTACAGGAACTGCGTTCGCGAGTAAGAGGCCTCGGACTCCTCAAAGTCGAGGTATTTTCTCCAGTTGACCAGCTGACCTTCATCCAGCTCAGTGACATGGAAGTACGGGCGCTTGATCTCCGACTCGTATGTCCACCGTTTAGTGGTTTCGGTCTGCGTCTTGTGGAATATTTCAAGGTGGTACGCGTCGACACGCAGTCGGAGGTCCCGTTCGACTTCCGCATCGGCCTTTGCGCCTGGGGCCACATTTCCGGCAGCAGCGTCTAATTCGGCCCGGAATTGGGACAGGGTCTCCGGAGGAGCAAGTTCCACCAAGGGACGAGTCTGCGCAAGCTGCCTGAATCTCTCAAAGTATCGGGCATACTGATGCATGGGGACATGGATCACTCGGCCAAGAATGCCAAAGATCTTTTCGGGAGATTCGACTCGCTCCTCAAACTCAATGTACTTGTCCCAGAACGGATGGGCCAGAAAATCCAGCCCAACGCTGGTCGCACCTCGTTCGAATAGTCTGTGCCAGGCGTGTTAGTATTTCCAATAACGTCAACCAGAGCAGGGTGAAGGGCGAGAGGAGGGCAGTGAAGGGGAAATAACAAGGATGGCAAACGTAAGCATTCAATCTTCAGTGCATGCGAACCCAAACAATTCAACGACTCGGGTGATCAAATGGTCAAAGACGTTCCCCCTTCTCTGCATCGTTCGCAGAGTAGGATCCATCGAACAGAGGTACTGATCTGTGGTGTCCAAGGAATGAAGTTTGATGTGAAATCAATTTTTCTTTTTCTTTTTTCTTTGTGTAGTATCAAGGGAAAGTAAACAGCCTGAGGAAGCCAAAGGGTGAGAAGTAAACTCCATTTGAGTCCGGGTAAGGCGGCATCTCACCCGTCATCGAGGGAAGCTTTATCAACGACCTGTTGCATTTACGCGGATGCGATACCACGATAATGTGCCGTGCTGCGTTGGTGGTTACAGGAGGGGAAGGAAAGGAAAAACCAGCGTTTTGTTATATCCACTTACTCTCGAATGATGTCAGCATCATGGGAAGTCTCTGCCTTGAAAGAGCAGTAGTTGGTCCAGAGGTCGACCGAAGGCGAAATGCTAGCGACACCGCGTTCATAGACCTACCGAGCGAGGTGTTAGTCACGAGGGGACAGTCGGAAGGGAGCGAGAGGGTATTCCATACCATATCTGCTGCTTCCGTGCCGGTGATGGAAAACTCCAAGTCGGCATACTTCTTCCAGTATCCAAACAGCAAGGGGAACTTGGCCAGGAACCGGTCGTAAACATTTCGTACGGTGGTGATAGCCTGAGGGCTGGAGTTGCGATTGATTCCTCCCTCGAGGGCCTCTGCGCCGCGAACCAGTCGTTCCCAGGTCTCGAAGTTATCGGGATCATCGATCTATATTGCCATAGTAAGACCAGTCAGTCCAGATGTACAATACCATTGGGCCGAAGCAAGGATAAGATAGATCATACCAATTCAGCCTCCAACTTTCTCAACTCCGCATTCTCCTCTTCGGAGCCTCCGTAATTGTAATCTGCCATGATGACAAGCGGGAACGTAGTCTGCAATGCAAAGCGATAAGAGCGCACCGAACGGCGACCGACGGTGGGAATGGAACTGCAGGGAGAAGGGAAGGGAGAAAGAGGGAGAGGGAGAGGGTGGTAGAGTAGATAGACGGAGAAGACTTGAGAGACAGCGGAACAGCCACACCGCGCGCCCTTTTTTCTTCTTGCCGAGCCTCACCCCGAATGTGGCTTAGCGCCCTACAATTTCTCGACCACCCAAGGTATTCACGCTTCATCTCTGCCATCTCGTCTCCATCCAGCTTCCTTTTTCCATTTCCCCAATTCCCTCTCCTTTCTCCGCCTGGTGACGATCTTCGCCTCACTCCACCATGGCATCCACTCAGGCGACCACCGGCTTGGTGAGCAAGCTGCCTTCCCGACTCCAAAACTTCTTCGCCCGTTATCCTCCGCAAATCTATTCCGCCGCCGTGGCACCCCGTGCTTCCCCGGAGGAGACGACACAAGCTGTCAGCGAAGAGTCGCTGCCCTCGCCATACACCCCAAACAGAGACGCCAAGGGCTACAAGCACCCCGATCCCAAGGAATTCTCGCCCTCGAAAGCCCTCCTCCACACCGACCCCGAACACCCCAACCCTTTCCTGCCTCACAAGAACTTCCGCACGGGCAAATGGATTAGCCCGCGCTACGGGCTGCGCACGCAGGCCGACCTGGTGAAATTGGCCGTCAAATACAACGTGGAGGCGCTGCTGCCGCCGGGCCGCAAGTCGACGGAATTCAAGGAGACCCGGCGCGCGGAGCGGGGATTGCAAATCAAGGGTACTGGTATCGGACAGAAGGTCAAGGGTCACAAGTGGGAACGTACGATGGAGGCGCGTCTGGAGGACCGTCGCAAGGCTATGCTGGAAATGCCGGAGATGATCCGGTTGTGGAAGCAGGTAAGCACACTCTACCGGCGGCGTTTGAGAAGGATTGATTCTGACTCGAGTTCTTTTTACAGAGAGGTCACGGTCGTGGCTGGAAGAAGTGGCCCAAGCGGTAAATGGGTCGTTGAATACCCATCCTTTAATGGGATTTGTCTTACGTTGTATCATTTTTGCCGGACCTCAACTCGTATAGGTCGATTCGGAATCGGAGTTCTTGTCCTCATATGTGTATGTATCAATAGATATTTTTTGAAATGGCACCATTTGTCTCATGTACATCATTGCTCGGCCGGTCGTATAGATTCACCGGCTGGATGTAGACTCGTGTTTTCGTAATTGGGAAGGTCTGGATCGAACAATTCCTCGGAAATAACCACGCGTGAGTAGTTCACATCTTCGGCACAATCAATGGTTCAACCCAGATGCCCTCTATGCTAAAGGCTTACGGTTTGTGAGAACCAGCATTATCTAATGGACGCTTTGATAAGACTAATTGCCACCTTACAGACAAATGATCACCTATAATCCTGTGTCACGAGGGGTGGATTACGTCTATATACTACAACAGAGTGACTACAAGTTCTAACACAGGCTTTGGTTCCGGTCCGTTGAGCCAAGATTAATTTGGATGCCCCAACCATGTCCTGGGGACATAGAAAGGTTATTTTAATCTCACAATTTCCTGGCGAGAGCACCTCTTATCCTGCTGCAACCTGCAGTATACTATACCAATTACAATCTATGGTCTACGGGATGTAACATTCGAAGATGAAATCGGTGGCGTGCAATGCTGCCATTGTCCGGATGTTTTGTTTCTTATTTGTTTGCTTGCCAGTGTTCAGCTTATGCCTTGAGGAACTTGTACAAGTCGAGACGTCTGGCGTTTGTGTAGAGCCAAGATTGATGTTCTTTCGTTACTAGAATATGAAGCAATATAATCGAAAAACCAGACCCAGGGGGATCTCATGAACCAGCTATGATGATGCGAAGAAGTTATTACTGCTACTTCCTACAACCATGATGATCTATAGCACCGGCAACCTTATGAGCATCTACCCTAGCATCTGACGATACAGAATAACATAACTGATCAGAAAGCAAAAAAAAAAAAAAAAAAAAAAAAAAAAAAAACCCCGGTTTGGCAAAAAGAAAGTCCAAAATAAAAGCAAAAAGAGAAGAGCAAAACAAAGGAAAAGCTCCGCTCTTCAGAACAAGTGATGATAGGGAGCCAATCGTAGAAGCTACCGTTTGAAACAACGGTCTCTATCTGTCCATAGAGGAAATGTATGAATTTTCCCTCATTTTCCTTGGGGCTCGAACCAGTCATCCTGGATCACATCAATATATGCTTCGTACTTATCCTTTCCTCGTGGGATGTAATACACATAGTTCCGTTTGTTTTCATTTATGACGGCCAGAGAAGATTTCTCATCTGACTTTAGATGAAACGTGTTCGAAGGAGCAGTCCACTTAATGCTGTGACCTCGTGCTTTTCCCACAGCCCTAAAAATACGATCATTGCCTGGGTTTAAACAGTACAGGAATATATCGAGGTAAGGCCCGTAGCGGTTAATTCCTTCCCGAGAGGCTACTGCCAAGATATCAGAGCTTTTGAAGTCATGATCGATGAAATGATTCCCTGAATTATGTCAGTCCTGTTCAATAATAAGCCTAGTCAATAGGACTCAGAATGCTTACTTCCTTGATCCCCGGAACAAACCCAGCTACAGCGAACGCTTGGCTTGCCAGTTTGCTCTTGGTACAGGAAAAAGATATACCGTACCAACGTTTCCCGATGAATCACGGCACAGAGTCCGTAGACCTCTCGAGGGGAATCTATGCTCATTCGCATAGAGAACCTATCGTTGCTTTCGCCCCATAATTCCAGCTCATTCAACTGAAAACTGTCATTGCCACTGGCGTGGTCACTGAGGTCATATTAGGACATCACCTCGAATGTATTATAGGATTTGAGACTACATACAAATCGTAAGTAAAGTAGTTGACAAATGTTAAATATCGTCCGGCGGAGCATGAAGCCACGGGGTCTTCAATGTGCGCAATTGGGCCGTCTATGTCAATGTCATGAAGTACATCGAGGGTTGGGCTCAGCTTTGAGAGGTACATAATGCCCTCTTCCTCTGGCTCGGTTATGCCGTAAACAGAAACCTTCATATCCTTGTTAGCGAGGAATAATTGATAGTATCAAGATCCTACCATGTCACCTTGTAGCACTGCAGCAATCGATGCGTCAGGCCGGATGATGCCTTTGAAAAGCTCATCATTCCCAAAAGAGGAGTACCCTTTGAAAGTATAGATAGAACGCCTTTCGAACACAAGTCTTTTTGTGGTAGGGTCGACAAAAAAGAAAAAGTGGCAGGTCTTGTCGTTTGGACTACGGACGACAGCGGCTGAATATCTGTCCATTTTTTCTGTGCAGGTCCGAAAGTTGGGATGTATGGGTGATAGTGAAAGGATATTGAGCTCTTTTGAGGCTCCTCGTTTTGCGATATGAGCAAGTTCGGTAGAGATCTAAATGTAAGTGAGATAGAATATCACACCATGAAGCTTCTGGTGAAGAGGATGTAGATGGGGAGGATATGTCATTTACAGAGGAAATGATGAGAGGGTGTAGATGATGGTAGTGATCTTGCACTGTATGGAATTTCTGCTGATTGCTATTTAATTGGTGAACTCCAAATGAAGGGAAAAGTGAAAAGTAGGTCGGGAGGATGAAGTTGAGTTGGACATGATCTGAAAGAAAAAGTGATGGTAGGGAGGGTAGTAGTTTGGACTGAGATGAACGAGAAGATGTGATGAGAGGGGGTTGATCAAAGTAAGATCAAAATGAGTTGAATTTTTCTTGTTTGCTCAGCCTCGATCAAATAGATCATCCTTAAATTGGATCTAGTTCATTAAAGTTGAGGTTAGGAAGTGTTGTGGTTAGAGTTGATATAGAGTTGATGATGATGATGATGATGATGATGAGTAGTAGAACAAGGACCCGGGTAGAGTAAGCATTCCCAAGGTAAAGGCTCTCTAGGATATACTGAAAAGGCACGACTTTGAAAAGAAAGAAGTATGGATAGTATTCAAAGAGAGGAGTGCGGTAGGAATTATTACCTAGAACCGGATAAGTATTCTACCTAGGTGTATATTCCCGATGTTAGCGAAACCTTTAGTGCACCCCTTCAGACAACCAAATATGGCAACAACATGAAGGCCCTCTTATTCCATCACCAACCCCGAGAATAAATCCTCACCTCTCCCCTACAATAAAGCCACCAGGTACAAAAGCCCTCAACCCCAACATACCGGAACCAAAGCACCGCCCCTAAGTCAGGCTAAGCTTCAAGCTAACCCCTTAGCCGGCCCGCTACCACGCAGCAAGTCAGCACGAGTGGAGCAAATCTCAGCCAGCAACCCAGGTTCATCTGCTCGATTATGCCTGAATTTCCGGCCCCAATGCAGATTTCCGCAGGCCCTTTAAGCAGCCCGGAACCCCCAAATCCCCGGGGAACCATCTACCCATCCGCTCAGCCATGGTGACTGTTGAAATTAGCCACGTCCAAGGGGTTCGCGTGCACTGGATCACGAGTAGAATAAGCGTGCCGGTCACGGATGTTCGGGCCCTGCTGAACCCTGTGCGTGTGCCAGAACATGAATACCCTGGTGCTCTGTTCCCGGGGACGGAGAGGTATGAGGCTCCCGAGGAGGAGAAGCCGGTGATGAGGTTCAAACAGGTGGATCCCTTGCCGGGCCAGGAAAAGAGGTATCCGACGTATCATTGGCCGGGGGGGATTCCAAGCTGTGTGCAAAAGTTTCCGTTGCTGGGGTTGACGGAGGAGCAGAGAGACGAAGGGGAGGATGATTTCCTCGAGGGCCATACGCTAGTGGAGGAGGCGAGGGGGTGGTTGTTGTTCGTGAGGGTATGTGTTTTGTAACCCATCTTTCAGGATTGATGACTCACTGATGAAAATCTAGGAAAATTGGATTCCACGCGAAAAGGCTGGCATCACGGAAGATGAAGATGAGGACTATGAGTTGCGACAACGGCGAGATCTCGTCGAGCGATGGGCTTTGGCGGAGCAGTCTTTTCGCGACGTGAGTGCTACATCCTGGAGAGCTTCATCTCAAATTATACGCGCAGATAACTAACAGACTATCACAGTTCTTCCATTATCGGGCAGCGCCCCGGAAATCAGCCATAGATTATCCCGAGGCATGTCTACATCGGATTGAAACCCGACGCCACCAATTCGGCGAATTCATCTGTCTCGCAGATATAGACACGCCCGAGAAACGGGCCAGATTCGTCAAGATTCTTATTCTCACCTACCAGCTAGACGGCGAGACCATGCATCCCTTTGGTGACGAGGTCATTCCAACGATGGTGCAGCCCAACCCAGCCAGCTTTCCGGACCCAAAAACGTTCTCGATAGACGACTTCATGATGTGGGCGTTTGTCGAAAACGCCGACTTCACGAGCATGACGATGTCTCGGAGCGGACACGTTCTCTTTAGATACGGCATGATGGGGCACAAATTCATCGACCAGAACACCATCGACACGGGGCGCATATCGATGGTGGAATTCAAGACCAATGGCATGGTGGACAAGACTGCCATGAGGCTTCCGTTCAACATCTTTCAGGCAATGTCGTATGTGAATGGGTTGGGCTGGGGAGTTGAACGTTTGGAAGAGCAGATGGCCGGTGGAAATGAGTCAAGTAATGGACCGTAAGTCATTCTCATACTTGCTTGGCCGGAATGGGACCGAACCTTGGCTAATTATTTGGCAGCTTGGACTTTGATCTTCCGGTCCTTGATATTCTCGAGTCCGGGTTTGAAAATGAGTATCTCTCCTTCGAGGGGGGTGTGGAGACGTGGGCGGAAGATATCGAGAAATATGCACCGGGGTATCTGGCGCTGGAGAAGGAAGGGAAAGCGGCCGAGTATGATATACGAAATCTTATACCAGAACCATAGAGTCTGTAAATTAGACGGGGGGGAGGCAACTCCCCGGGCTTGTATATAATCTGTATCTTATTGAATTTTGCAATGCGTATTGGGAAAGAACACTGATTCAAACAAAACATCATGGCTTTAGATGTCCTATGCTGTGTGTTCATAGGAGTGCAATGGCAGATCGACCTAAGGGCGGGCCTAGTGTCAAACAACAGGAAGTAAAAGAATTCATTCCATCTCGTATTTCACTCTTGACCAGCATAAAAAAAGATAAATGGTACATAATAAGCTCGCTAGCACCAGCGCTGAATGAATACAGAAGAATAAAACCAACCATTACCTCACCTCGGGGAGTGCCAAATACATAACTTCCCTAAACGCATGCTAAGGCTGACCACAATGAGATGCAATAGAACGACAAGCAGCTGCATAATAAAACTTTGCGTCCGCAAATTCAACGCCGCCAGTAAAAGTAAAGGATAAAGAACCCAAGGGTTGACAGCGAGTGGAATGCACGGTTGGAAAACAGACACGACCTCGACGAGAAATATGCCGAGTTGAATTGCCCCAAACGGCAGCTGCCAATCCAAAAGTGCGTCTGGCATAGGAGGAAGAAACCTGACCAGAGAGAATCTGCTTGGAGGAGGAGGTAGTAAAGGTCGTAAAGAAGGCTCATTAGTTTGATGGATTTGCTCATGGGGTTCGTTTTGGCCAGGTGGCGAAAGAGAGGAAGTCCCCGAATACCTAGACCGAAGCATCATGTCCCTTTCGGGGCTGAAAGATAATCGCCTATCAACTTCGTGGGCCATATCTTCGACATTAACGGAGAGGTCATCGGTGCTCGCGTCGTATTGAGGATTTTGGCGCACAGCTGCCGGACTCCGTGAAAAGGGCTTTTTAGGGGTGACGGACGGCCGAGGGAAGGTAGGAGGGGCCGGACTATCTATCGGATGAATCCTTGAGCCCGCATGAGTCTCAGGACTCGATGAGGAGGAGCTGCCTCTTCTGGATCTCATATTATCATTGGCGTTAGCTCCAACCTGCAGGCCGCTTAAAACCTCGTCCGCGGATGGTCGTCTGTTAGGATCAACAGACAACAAGCGCTCTAAGAAGGTATACAATTGCTCGGGCAATTCAGGTCGCATCCTGCGTGCATAATCAAACCCACCCCAGTGGCTGATTTCTTCTCGCAGGCGGTCGAGGTCCTCCTTCTCTTCATTGATTAGGTCCGCATTGGCATATGGTAGCTGGGCGAAGCATAGGAAATAGAGGATCATTCCCAGAGAGAAGATGTCGGATTTAAAGGTGAAATTGCCAAACGGACCTCCCGGGTACTCTCGTCGTAGAACTTCGGGGGCGCAATACGATACAGTGCCAGTAGCCCCGGTCGACCCACGCATCGAATCTTGAGATTGAACCTCCCCGAAATCACTAACCAGCACACGGATCCCATCGCTGGTTTGATGAAGTAGACAGTTGTTGGGCTTGAGATCCCGATGGATGTAGCCATTGGCATGAAGGTACCGAAGCCCCGACGTTATGTCTTTGAAAAATGAATAGATTTCGTCAAAGTGTAGTTTACGAGGCTCTGCCAGCTCGGATTGAGGCAGGGGCTCCCCTTTGGATTTCCTCCTGAGACGTTCCTTCAACTGCTGCGCCGTTGTAGAAGTTTGAACCGAGCCACAAATGTAGTTGTGCAGATCTCCAGCATTACAATACTGTTGGAGGATGAACGCACATGGAACGCTGGGTCCGAATGTGCTGATCTTCGCATCCTCAAGCCAGACGTGACGGTAGGAAACAAGATTCTGCTGTGATAGATGCTGCAACAGTTGCACTTCGCCCAGCACCTTCTCAAGCCACCCATGATCATCTCCCACGGGCACCCGCTTGCAAGCATAATAACCAAGCGAGACCCCGTCTAATACGTGTTTCACCAGCAATACCACACCCTTCCCGCCCTTGCCCAGGACAGTTTCTTCGACGAAGAATTTCTTGAAATAATCCGGTGTAAATGCCGCGGACGATATCCCTTCTTTAGAAGGCGCACCGCGCGTGGTACCCGGATCGCTAGTTGGGCCGCCGGGAAGAGCGGGCTGAGCGAGACGACGACGTGGGGAGGGTGGGTGTGAAGAACTCGCAGAGCTAGGTAGACTATTATGAAGCATGCGAAAGTACTCCGGATTGACGAACTCAGGGGCGCCATTCGGGCTGGCATGAGGGCTCTCTTGTCCCGCGCCGTCCTCCCGCAGTGGCCGATGACAATATGGACAATCGGTGAACTCAAGGCCGCCATCGCTGTCGGCGGCATTCCTGAGGGCTAGTTGTCGAGAGTCTCGATCGAAGACCACAACGGAATCATTGTGGCGTCTACCGGATTAGAATCGCCAAATTAGAGCTGAATTGACTTGGAGGGGCAGTAAGGTTGATGGATAAGGTCTTACAGTACGACGTCAAGGTTGGACGATCCATAGGGAATCATGGACATTCGGTCGTCCGCCATTCTCAAAGCAGGTACCGCACATTTCTTGGAGACATGGAGGCCTGCCAGGCATTGGTTTTATAGAGGAGACTACTAAGGAGATCGGCGAGTTGGAGGTGCGACCAACGAGGAATGATGAAAGTGAGGCTGGTCGGCCCCACGTGAGCTACGGCGGTGAGCGAGAGCCACCGCTGACTGGCAGTTCGCTTGGAAGTGAAAAAAAAAATGGAAATTGACAGTTGTATCACAATAGATTCTTGTAAAAAAATACTAAAAGTAGGTGGGTATCTAATATGAAGGGTACGAGTGGACAACTCTACAATGGAGCAGTCCACCTCCGGGGCTGGAGCCACTGTACGCATAGTCAGACTGCGGTCAAGTTGGCATGCCCAACCGATGTCGTGGAAAACCACGACTGGATCGACGCTTTGTTTGCCTGGTGTTCTCGACCTTTGGCTTTCAGGGGACTTGAGTCTGGAACCTGAGCATGGATTAACACCACGCGATGAGACCGGTCCATGTCAGGGAGAACAATGCCGGGCGGCGCCAAGATGATGCCGGTTCACGGCACGAGAGGAACCATGTCCAATATGGTGTGCTTTGCGTTGCACTCGATTGACTGGCCAACGGCGGTTGTCGTTGCTCAATCGTTCTCCTCCCCGCTTTCTTCGTCACTAATTTCGAGGTTGGCGATCGAGTCATCGTCGTCATCGCTGTCACCAAATCCCTCGAAATCTTCCTCGGCCGCAGAGGCAGGCTTGTCAGAGGCCTTTGCGGATTTTTCAGCACCCTCCAGCGTGGTCTCGTCAAGCTTTCGCTTCCGACCCATCTCGCCAAGTCTGCCCTCGCGGCCTTCGATCTTCTCGTCCCCTTCGCTAGGGGTGTGAGGAGGGGGGGTAAACCACGGGAGTTTGCCTCGCAGGAAATCATTGATGACCATCTTAGCAACGCCATCACAATCCGGCTCTCCTCCACGAAGAAGACGGCCACCCTTGCGGGCAAGGATACTCAAGAACTCGATGGGATCTTCAGCATTCTTAACACCATAGGTACGCTCGAGATGCTTCGGCTGAACCCGCTTCAGGATGGCAGGCATGTACTGTTCGGGGTTTTCCACATTCTCCACTCGGACAACACCTCGAAGCAGAATGTCTTCGGGGGTGTCATTCTGGTTGGGTGGGACCACACCAGGGCAGTCAATGAGGTAAATCCGCTTCATCAAAGTGATGTACTGCCAAACCTTGGTCTCACCAGGGATCGGGGCCACGGTACACACTTTCTTCTTGCGCAGAGTGTTGATGATAGAGGATTTGCCCGTGTTGGGGTATCCAATGAAACCAACAGCAATCTGCTTTCGATCGGCGTGAAGAGATGAAAACTGTCTCAGAAGCTGGATCAAAGATCCCTTACCGAACGAATTGTTGATCGAAGCATGGAACGCGAGAGTTGGGCGGTCTTTAGAAAGATGACGAACCCAAGCAGCCTGGTGTCCAGTTAGTAATTGACCACCAGTATAGGCAAGATGCAGCATGATTGCAAAAGGAAAAAGAGAAAATAGGGAACAGAAAAGGAAAGAAAAAATCAAAACGGATAGAATGTGCGAAACGTTACTAAGAGACTTGCTACGAAAGCCCGCCATACGGCAGATGCAAGCCTCAACTCAAAAACGGAACACAACTTAGCCCTTAACGACTGGCTTTCAAAACGAAAACCAGTCAGCCTAGCTTCAGAAAGAAATTCGGCGCGGGCCAGCGTCAATATACCAAAGCTGTAACAGACAAAACTCCCATCGAGAAAAACACGACACAAAGTCGCAGGGAGAAGCCTTGACTTAGCGATGGCACAGGCCGATGTAGCCTGATTGGTATCAAAGGTAATAGCACCAAGAACGGTGCGCAAATAGCAAAAGCAAGAATAACAATACGACAGACAACGAATGAGGAAGATAAAGAGGGGTGGCAACATAGAACTTACCGCTACACCTGTTGGTACAAGATCACACTTGTTGAGCACGAAGATCAAATGCTTGTGAGGAGCCTCCTCGCGGATATACTTCTCAATGCTTCGACAGCGGGTACCCTCAGGGTCACGCGCATCGAGCGCATGAATGACGACGTCGGAAGAATCAATAACCTTGTACAGTTCGTTCCAGATTCGCTTGCTTTGACCCTTCAAGAAAACGGCTTCACGTGAGATAGCGTATTCACCAAGCATTTTATCCTCCTGGTTCGTATCTCCCGAGACGATAGGTGTTCCATCTTCATGGAGACCCGTGTCCGTCTTCTCGACATAAGCATCATGTTTTTGGGCCGTCTCGCCAGCCAGGTCCTCGAGCGACGAGACACCCATCTTGACACGCTTTCTCTGAGCCTTGGGCCCAAAGGTGTCACTGTACGGCGACGTCTCAATGGCCATCTTCGCCTCATGCTGTTTCAACCCATTGACGCCTTGACCGTCTCTGATCAGACTCATAGGGAGCTTGTTGGTCTTGAGAAGAACCTGGTAAGGGTCGGAAGCACGCTCGGCAACCGCCTCACGGAACGAGGTCAAAGCCTCTTGGGAGATCACTCGAGTGTTGCCAAACCATTTACGGTGAGGCTCAATCCTAGCAACGGGGGCGTCTCTCGACTGGTAGGAGGCGGCCTGGGTGACATTTCCAGCAGCGTCGTGTCGGGCTTTGCCATCCTTGAACATGTTCAAGGTCCTCAGCTTCTTCGCATCTCTTTTCTCATATTAGTATACTGGAACAGTGAAGCCAGGTATCGTGAGTGCCTTACCTGTAAAAATTTTCACCCTTAACCTTGACATTGCCCATGCCATCTCCAACCTTCCCCTGCCGCTCTTTACGAGTGGCTTCTTTCTTTCCTGTACCCATGGTGAATCCTACTCTCCAAGAGAGAGAATCTGTGAAAAAAGGGTAAAGAAATAATGGGTAGAAGAAAATAAAAGTGGCGGAGCGCAGGAAGAAGAAGGAAAGAAGAAGAGAGAAAAAAGTTCGTTGCGGGTGAGAAATTATTTTTTTTTCTTTTGACACGGGCGCCAAGGCTAGCGGTGCACGGACCAGGCGCGAGAAAATCCGCTTCGACCTCTTCCGCTTCTCGCAACAGAAACCGCGTTCCCATCAGGTGCTCCGCAATTCCCAACCTGTGCCCGTCGAGAAGAAGTGTGTCGTTTCCGTTTACCCGGAAATTCCCCTTCCTTGCATTTTCCTTCGGATTTGAATTGAACCTCCCGCCATTTGAGGAGGAAACAGCCGTTGTTCATGATGTCTCTCCTCCGCAACTGCCGGACTGCCGCCGTGCAGGTCCGTGGCTTCTCCTCGTCCTCCGCCCTTCGATCCGGCCCCGAATCACCTAAATACATTGATATCCCTCAGGTGATCCAGGAAGGTGAAGTTGTCGACCGCCGTGTCAAGGGTACGCTTCCTGTGCCTCGCGATCTCTTCCCGGCCCGCCGAGCAGACAAACCGACCAAGGCCTATCTCTATGCCGCTACTCCCCTTCCTTCCAAGGAGGTCCAAATCGACCCGAATGATCCCCACGCCCAATACATCGGCTGGAAGAGACGTATGGCCGATATCAGACGAAAGAACCTCCGACAAGGTCTTACGGAACTGCACCGCCGGAAGAAGCAAACAGACAAGCGCATTGCGCAGGAGAGTGCCGAAAAGCAGATCCAGCGACAGGCTGTCCTAGACCAGCCGGACAGAATGGATGAGCAATTGACCCGCCCTTCCGTCATCCAGGAGATGCTTTCCAACCGCAATGCCGTCCTGCCTGACCCGACCCGGGAAGAACGACTTGCGCTTTCTCGGGCACGCTTCGAAGCTCACAATGCCCGGAGACAGGTGGAACGGGATGACAATTTGCAAACATTATACATGAGTGCCCGTAACTTCATCACCACCGAAGCCCAGCTTGCGGCTGAAATCGATCGGGTCTTCCCCGAAGGCGAGAACGAGGCGTGGCGCAATGATCACCAGCAGGGTGAGAACATCTGGAACCTTGGTACTCCTTCCTCGCTCCAGGGCATTGCCAACGCGGGTATGAAGAGCGAGTCGGGTCGCTGGGAACTCATCCAGGACAGAGTCAAGCAACTCGGAGAACAGATCACGGGGGGCAAGATTTAAATGGTGCGCTGTGGTATCACTGTATATTACTCCAGTTTTTGAGCTTTATTATCTTTTTTTCCCTTCATTTTGCTGTGTATACCTATTGTTGTATCAATGTCAAGGACTTTCCTTACCTGTTCAATCCATATATTGAACTTTTCAAATTAGATTTATTGGGTGGCTTTATCTCTTTCCGTAGTTCATTCTTCACATGAAATACCTGTTCCTTCGTGAAGCTAAAAGGATAGTCCTTTTTTTTTTTTTTTTTTTTGCGTTGGCGAGATTAATCTACAACGGCAAAACAGTTCTGCTGCTTGTCTTCAGACATTGGAAGAATTCATGTCTCGGGGGTTTAGAATGCTAGCGACAATACAGGAGATGAAGTTCGAGTGTCAGATTTTGGAAAACAATGTTATGTTCTGAAAGTGATAAACTAGATATAAAACCAACTTGGTCCCTGAAGTAATATAAACGCCTCCGCTATGCAAATTCCATCTACCTAAACACCAAAACAAAAATGGGGAAGTCACCAATATCAGGATTTATATGAATATCGCCTTGGCATGATCAATCGAATCATTCAATCCATAACCATGTCTCAGCATATAGCACTACTCGGTCTTCACAGGAGCGTCTGAGGATGCAGCCACTGCAGCTCCTTCGGTAGCGGAAGACTTGGGGGCCTCCAGTGTGCCATCACGTTTTGGTAACTCTTCATCGATGAAACATCCAAGTCCCGCAAATGCTTCTAGCAGAGTACGGGAATAGTATTCCCGTAGATCGTATCCACCGGCCTGCATACGAGTGTCCTGTCTGATGGGGTCCAGGTAACTGGATGGATAATGATCTTGTAAAGTGTAGTAGTCTCGCTTGTTGGGGACCAGCCCACCAAACGGATCGTAGGGCTTTTCGGGCTCCGGGGTTTTGATTTTCTTGAGGCCTTTGATAAGTCCAGGGCCTTTCGCGTCCGCGGCATTGGCAGCCACTTGGTCCTTACCGGATTTCTTGAGATCGGTGCCGCGCAGAGCAGCCTGTTTCTGTCGGATACGCTCCTCCTCGCTGCGCCGGGCAGAGGATTTCTTGAGCAACACCTTCCGACCCTCTCGCGCGATAGCCGCGGCATCTCCCCGCTGGCCGGCCGCCAGACGAGAAAGAACGTCTTCTCGCCCTTCCAGCAGCTCTCGTCGTTCGTTTTCGTACTCTTGCCTTGCTGCCTGTCGTCGCATACGTGCCAGTTCTTGCTCGTGGGATTGTTGTTCCTGGAAAGAGTTTGCTTCGATCTGGGCGAGATTTTGGTTCGCTTTGATGGATTCGCGATTATCCGTGCGATATTGCTCCAGAGCTTTTCTTGTCTTTTCCACGTCGGTGCCATTAACCAGGTTCGCGATAATCTCCTCGCGCTGTTCGAGAAAGTCGTCCCACGCTCGTTTGGAGTCGAACTCGTCTTCGCGACGGTTGAGACTGGATAGCGATTAGCTGATGTTCGTTTATACCTGAATCAGAGGGCCGTACATCTGCATAACCTCTTTCCTTATATCGACCTCCCTTTCTACCTGGATATCCTCAAACGTCTGCGTTCGGAATTTCTGCTTGCGCAAGGTCCTGTGGCACCCGGCCACAGGACAATTCGCAGGACCCGAAGAGAAAATCCGATCGACGCAGGACTCGCACATTTTATGGTAACATTCTGGATTTATGAGGAAGCGCATATCAGGGTTCAGGTATCGCGAGGATTTGCAGACGGGGCAGACCTCTGGGATTCATTAGCTTAGCTTTCTTTGTTCAGAACAGAGAGAAAGATCGTTACCGTCATCATCCCCGCGATGGGATATCGAGTCTCGAGCAGGAGGCATATTCGAGGTAGGCCGTCAAATATCGTTAGGTACTGACAAAGAAAAGCGCAGACCGCGACCGAGCGAGCGAACGAACGAAGGAGATGACGAAGGAACTGGAACACTTTCATCTTGGCTTCGATCCCCACTGGACCAATCAGGTGTCGTGGCGGGGGGTTCCGCGCGGAGACTTTTCTTTTATCGCCGCAAAAAGTTCCTCTTTCTTTCTTCCCTCTCGCGCCTTTCCCACTTCAGTGTTCATTCAGGCCTCAGACTGTGATCATTTAATTCTCTTTAAAGTGCAGGACTGCAGCTGCACATAAGACATTTTGTTGTTTAATAGGCCAGTTATTCAAAATGGGTGTCCCCAACGGCGATCTACAAGATCTCGAACGTCAACGCCTCGAACTCGAAGGCAACATTCTGGAACTCCAGAAATCCCTCTACCGATGGAGAACGCAGGAGGCCGAATACGATGGTTTGAAGGAAGAGGTTGAAGAGCTGGATGATACCGCGACAACGGGTGACTTCTTTGAAATCGGTCGCAACTACGACGGGACCTTGAGTGAAAAGGAACTTGCCGCGCTCGTTGCGGGGCAAGATGCCATTCGCAGCAAGGAACGAGTGATTCAACTTATCATTAAGCGACTTGACACCGTGAAACAAAATGTATCGACCTTGGAAAAGATGTTACGGGCAGCGGAGAACAAATTACATGACCTGGATGCTATGGAGCGGCTCCCAGCGGATCCCACAGCCGATTTTCCTATGACAGAGATTGTCGAAAACCTCGACGAGGACGGCAATGTCATCTCCAGCTCAACAAACACGCCAGGAAATGAGTCCGCCGACCTTTTGGAACTCTTGACGAAGGCTGGCGTGAAGGATGTACCAGATACCCCCCAGACGAACACCCAGGCAGAAGCGTCGCAAGAACCTCAAAATGAGTCCAGAGGTGAACCTTCAGGCTCGACAATCAACGATGTCCAAACCGCTCCTAGTCAAACGGGTATTCTTACTCCCGATTCTATGGACAGCGACGATGGTCCTCGGACTTATCACTTCGAAGACGAACCCGCTACGTCGCAGTCAGCCGAGAAACACCAGGAGCGCCCTGTGACGAATATCGATGAATCCCCCGAAGATGCACAACTGCGCAGCGAAATGCTTCGTTACAGTCTCGATGAGGTCGGAGCTGTTGTTGCGGAACTTGAACTCGACGAGGGAGCTAGTGACATCTCGGTTGATGAAGACGCCGACGTATTCGCTTACGACGATGAGGAAGAAAGCGAGGAAGACGAATTCGGTCGGAGCACGCGGTCCGTGCTAGATGAGGACTACCATCAACAAATGCGTGAGTTGGAGGCCAAGTTAAATGCGCGCGGAATGTGGAATGTGGGCAAGGATACCGGAACGCTCCCCGAGGACGTCAAGGAAGAACTTCAACAACCTGCCAAAGTCCGAATTGAAGAGGCTCCCCAACAGACAGATACACCTGCAGAAAAGAAGCCCAGGAAGAAGGTCGCTTTTGCCGACGAACTGGACATTGCTCCCGCCCCGAAGCCTCCAACTGCAGAAAAGAAAGCCCTTCCTCCCAGACAATCGGAGGTACAAGTTCTGTCCGACTCGGTTGTTGAACGTACAGAGCCAGCCGCCAAGGACCCAGCACCAATTACTGCGCCGAAGAAGGCTTCTCGATTCAAGAGTGCGCGAAGCTCTGCGACAGGGGATGAAGCCAGAGATTCTGTTGCACCGGTGAGCACCGCTCCCAGCTCTAGTATATTGCAGCGGAAGCAAGGAACGTCATCGACGCCGTCACCCTCGTCGCTACCTCTATTCCCTGCCAAACCAGTCGAGCCTAAGCCGTTCTCGCAACCCATTCAAGATGTTTCTGAAGAGCCACGGGCCCCCACGGGACCCAAGGATAAGATCCTGGCGGACATTCTTGTCGAACGTGACATCTCCGAAGGCGCCGCCGCGCCTCCCGAGCCGGACGAGCTCGACGAGCAGCTCCACCGAAAGCAAATCGCAAGTGAATTCTATCGAGAAAGAAACAGGCGCATCAAGGAGAATGAGGGATTCGTGGACAACGAGCCTGAAATGGTTCCCATTGAAACCGAAGAAGCTCCCAAGAAAGTGAGCAAGTTCAGAGCTGCCCGAATGAGGTAGCTTGTTATACAGAAGAAAAAAAATTATAGACTTAGAAATTCAGATACCCGGAATGCATTCTAATCCATCTCTGGATGGCGTTGCGATGCCACTGTCTAGTCGTATGCACGGATTTCAGATATTTGATGGATCCGAAAGGATCGATGCAAATATCATGGCTATATCATGGCACGTGGTATAACTGTCTCAAAGAAATTCCAAGATTAATAAATATGGGGGCTCTCTGACGGCTTTCCGTTCTTGTCATCGACAGTCTGTATTGGACTCACTCACGAGTACTTACGGTTGTGGTGATGTAGAATCCGTGGGATCGCAGTTACGTTTCACCCCCAACATGCCTTTAGATGGTTTAGAGCCAATGTAAACACAACTATGCTGAGAGAATCTTTCGGGGAAACGCAGTGGATATTGCAAAACCTTTACAGTTCTAGGTCTTGCGTGACTTGAATGCTAGCTGTGCTCACTTTAGCTCGCCATTGGGAGCTTTGCAAATTCCACATTTTGTGGACATATATAAACCTACATACTATACAACATTCCGTTACACCCCATGTTGCCTACAATCGAGTACGCTAGGCCGAGGCTTTGACTTTCAAAGCCATTAAAATCCAATCAAGATAGTCGCATAGCTCTCCGTCTCTTATTTTATTTGCCACATTCAAGACGTAACACACTACATCACCATCGTCCCAGAAAAAGCCAGCCCGAACCCAAGACCTCCGCAATTTCGCCCCCTCTTTCCACACAAAAACACATTGCAGATAAGAGTGACTGAGACGATGAGAGAGTGTTATACGAGCAGGGGGGTAATATTTATGCGAGTGTGCACCCAGGAGCCATGAAGAGTGGCTTCTTGGCTAGTGTGATGCAGAGGGAGCATGCTATTCACGACGTGTTCGTCTTAATCCTGTGTCTACGGTGTATCCGCGTCTTGGTTCATGTGGCAAGCAGACTAATTTGGGTTTTGTGATAGTGTTAATGGTCCCAACTCAATGGGTTTCTTCTGCGTCTGCTTGACGAAGAAGAACTCTAAACTCAAGGAGACGTTGGTAGGACGCTTGTTGCGCTGCAAGCGGGATGTGAGGGGGCTCGATAGCATCTACTCTAGCGTTAGTTCGACAATCTGCTACGTTTATGCAATGCAATGGAGTGAGGGAATGGCTGTTCTAAGAATACTACAAGGGTACCAGTTAGATACTGAGAGCGAGTTGCTCGTGGGATCGCGAGGCAATTCCTTGCTCCAAGACTTATCTCCATAGTACCCTAACCGAGCAAGATAAAAAAAATGTCTTAGAATCCTTGCCCTCGTTAAGAGAGTTTAGGTTTAACCAGATCTCCAGCTACATGCCGAAGGCAAGGCCCGGCCGGATGCTCGGATGAGGGGAAGGAAGAGTAGACTGATTAACTGATTATGGAGACACCCACCAACTTAGGCACCTAGAATATGCATGTTACATGCATACGATATGCATACGTCAATGTCTTATTTATTTTGGGTAACAGAATGCACCAACACCCCGGAAACGGCAGGTTTTGAGGGGTACATCAAAGGTGCATATGAAATGCAGGATGGACTAAGACAGGTTTTCGGCAGTTTTTACTATCAATCTAAGATTGGAAAATTTTGGCATTGAGACCTACAGAAAGCTGTAAGTAAGGTCCGGAATTTAGCCTGCTTGGTGCTGAGTGTGAGTGTCACTCGCAACGATGCAGACAATGTATATTCTGAATTGATATTGGACATCATCCACGCTTGATTTCGAATGTTCATCCTTGGTCTAGCTAACCGAATGAACAGCAATAATAGAAATTCTTGATGGAAAAGTAAAAAGAAAATTAAAACAGGATTAACCCTATAGTCTATAGATGACGCATTCGTATTCTTACGCGGCCACAATCTGACCAGCCATCAGGCTCTCGGAGCACATCGTGTAAACAGTACGGCCGGCAAGAAAAGAGAAAAAAAAAAAAAAAAAAAAGGAAAAGGAAAAACAAAGGTGGATAAGGCAGACATGATCAATCAACAAACCAACCAAGCTTGCTCTCGTTCTCGAGTTCACCGTGAACTCGGCAAGAGACATGCGCAGTGGGCCCATGTCGATGATGATAATACTTTTTCAGTCTGGACTGCTATTGTCACGGGATGATGCAAAGTTTACATTAGTTCTAGGCACTTGCCTACTACAGTATACACCATGAGCAGTGGGGAAAAGTCTTTTCTCGAAAGATAAATTGAAAATTCAAATACTCGCATTGTTCGCGCATGGTTGACGGCGTGAAAGGCGCCGAGGCCGTCTCTCCGATTGTATGACTGATCGATGGAGCCGCCCAATGGCACTGCTTCCCTTCTCAGAAATTTTAAGAAGAGGTGTTTCAGATTATAATCGAACCGTACTTGGGAACCATTTCACCGAGTTGTCTGCTGCTGGCTGTGGCATACAGCTATGGGGAAGACCCAAGAGTTCTTTGGTTCCTACGGTGGAGGGCCAGAGATGGCCTCGTACTGCTGTTTACGCATGGATTTTGTAGAGAGCGATTTAGGGCTTCCGGGCTCACCAACCAACGGGTGGAGCGGAAAACTGAAATCCAGCCCATCCAGGATTCGGGAAAAGCTTATGCTCCGAGGCTTGGAGGACATTGACAGGGCTTGGAGCCTTGGACAGCTGTACTCCGCGTACAGAGCAAGGCAAGAGCAAGGACAAGGCTTGTGACTGGTTCTCTTGTCCGTGCCGGTTTCTATATATACTGCGGCAAGCGTGGAGGATGCATCCCGTAGGGAGCAGCGTTGGGTGATCTGGTCGTCGGTCGAATCCTTTTTCTATTTTCTTTTTTCTTTTTTTGCCTGACAAGGGAAATCATCGACAGTGGTCCAGGCCAGACATGACGTGGCGACGAGTTGGATCAACATGGGAACCTTCCTGAACCAAAACTGCCATGAATAAATCGAATGAATAAAGAATTAATATATTTTATTTCTGGTGATTACGATGTGCCTGCTGAGGTCATCAGGGGCTAGGGGGAATGGGGACTAGTCCAAAATAACAAGCAGTGCCATTCGCTGAAGGTGTCGTCATACCTCCGGATCAACTGTTACTCCGAGACTCCACAGCCCACCTTTTGCGCGGTGTTTCTTCGCCGATTTCCTGATCCTCTCTAAGACACCGCAACGTCAACATGAGATGCAGCCATCGCCAAGTGTTGTTCCCGATGGATCTTTGCCAATGTTGCTCGGCAACACGCCGTGACGCACCCTTCCATCGACGGAGCATTGACGTGGAGGTTTTTCGGCGGCAGAGAGATCAGTCCTCTGTAGACCCAATGATGCAAGGCACCTACATGTACGCAGCCTCCGAGCAGCTGATGTGAATCTGGATTGCAGGCGATAGGTCTTTTCCCCCACCACCATATCCTAAGACTTGCGTGGATCGTACTTTGATCAGGTCCTCTATTACGTGGGCATAGAACGGATTCCGACGTCTTCCAACCAATCCGGTCTTTGTTTTTGTTGGGGGAGGCTGTATGAATAGAATCGAAGATCCATGGCGCTCCGGCTTCTATCCGCGCAGACAACCCCCGGAGAACATTCTCTGTGTGCCTGTGTGGTGGGCTTCGTCTAAGCTACCGGGGTTCGTATTTGATATTGCCACTTGAGTCGCCAGTTGCTGCCCGTGAACCGTGTATCGAGTCTCGACGACCAGGGCAGGGTTTATGGCCGATCCATCTGCCCTCCCGATGGGTCCGGATCCACCGGTGGCTTATGCCCTGCGTCCCCTCGGCCATTGATATGGTTTCTATCTCACAGCCAACTTCCAAAACCACTGCCCTCATGGACGGTTCTCTCCACAATGGCTTTGGTGCATGACGTCTTCCTCATTGCCCTGCAATTCCGAAGACTTCCAGGCCCGGACTTTCTCGGACTGGCAGCTTGTTTATTTGTTCTGACATGTTAAACTGGGTCAACGGTGGTCATCCACACCTTAATTCCATGGTCAATGATGTCCGCCTATGCATCCCAACTTGCTCTGCCTCTGTTTCTATTTTTCGCTCGACGTGGGGAGGGGACAGGACTTGATTGACCTACCCTGTCCAGCTTACCGATAATTCCCACGTCGTTCCTGCACGTATCCACCATCCTCTATAAGTATCGAGCATCCTCTTGTTCCTGAATTTTGTGGACAACAATAAGCCTCTGGCAGCTCAACCAAACACGGTCTTGATATCTATTCAAGAGTCTTCTTTCATCCCTCTGACTCGACCGTTTCATTCGCTCTCAGCTGCTCTTTACGTTCGCTCACTAATAATGAGAAACTTCGTTACCGCCGCAGCTTTCGCTGCCGGTGCCAACGCCCTTGTGGGTAGAGGCAACAGCTGCTGCTTCCACCTGAAGTCTTCTGGTGGTGCTTCCGGATCCATCGGCCAGCTCGATGATGGACAGAACCGTGTCTACGGTAATCTTGAGGAGGCTCAGTTCTGCATCGATTCCAACGGTGCCATCACCGATGCCAACGGCCGCGGATGCATCGTGACCGGTAAGCAGGGAACACCATTCATTAATTAATGCGCTCTGGCTGACAAGTCTTCGATTCAAGGCCCTACTACCCAGTGGCAATGCGATCAGGGTGCTTCCCCTACCGCTGGCTTCTCTATTAACTCGGAGGGTCAGCTATCGTACCAAGGCGACAGCGAGTTCGTTGCCTGCCAGACCGGCCAGAACGGCGGAATGAACATCTACACCACCGAGAGCCAAGACGTCACCGGCTGTGTGGATGTCAAGTTGACCGCCGACTCTTGCTCTGGATCTGGCGCTGGCTCTGGTGGCTCCGGCTCGGCCTCTGTCCCTGCTCCTTCATCGACTCCCGTTATCGGATCTAGCAGCATCCCTGTTCCTCCTTATCCTTCGTCGAGCGCCTCCGTGCCTCCGTATGTCCCCGGTCCCTCGGGTAGCGCTTCTGTGCCCCCCAACGCCCCTGGCACCGGACCCAGCGCTTCTGTGCCCCCCAACGCCCCTGGCACCGGACCCAGCGCTTCTGTGTCCCCCAACGCTCCTGGCACCGGACCTAGTGCTTCTGTGCCCCCCAACGCCCCTGGCACCGGACCCAGCGCTTCCGCGCCCCCCGCTGAGCAGACTACCACTATTCTCACGACGGTGACCGCGACTTACTGCCCGATTAACACTGCAACCCTGCCCGGTGGCCCTGGCGTTCCCGGCACTACTGGTGTTCCCGGTGTTCCTGGAACTACTGGTGTTTCCGGTACTCCTGGCGTTCCCGGTGGCCCTGGCGTTCCCGGTACTCCCGGCGTCCCCGGTGTCCCTGGTGTTCCCGGCACTACTGGTGTTCCCGGTGTTCCTGGAACTACTGGTGTCCCTGGTGTCCCCGGCACTCCTGG